GGCTTGTTTTACAACGTCGTTGCCAAGCGACGAAAACACAACCCCGATGGCAGACACCGAGGGGGCAGGGGCTTGTTTTACAACGTCGTTGCCAAGCGACGAAAACACAACCCCGATGGCAGACACCGAGGGGGCAGGGGCTTGTTTTACAACGTCGTTGCCAAGCGACGAAAACACAACCCCGATGGCAGACACCGAGGGGGCAGGGGCTTGTTTTACAACGTCGTTGCCAAGCGACGAAAACCCAACCCCGATGGTAAACACCGGGGGGGAGGGGGGGATAAGAAGGCCTCATCTCCCCCCCCCCAAACGCCACATGATTTCCTATATAAACAAGTCCACACTAAATCCTATATAACGGGGGTACATTTCATGCAAGGGGGTAGTAATACAATCCACGCAGCCCCTGCTCCAGCGTAACGCAGCCCGCAGCCAGCCGCGGTACCGTCCGTAGCAGAGGAGAGAGAGAGCGAGAGAGAGAGAGAGAGCGAGAGATGAGCTTGGGGAGAGTGGTCACGATGAGCATATTCTCCATGGGAGGGAGATGGAGGGCGAAGGCGCTCGACGCGAAAGCGCTCGAAGAAACGGCGGTTTAGTCTTGTTGAGGGAGGAGGTGGAGGGGCTTCGGGGAATTGTTGTTGTTGTTGTTGTTGTCTTCACATTGAAAACCGTTCCGATCTCTCTCTACCCAGCACCTTCGTACGTCCGTACTGATCTCTCCCTTCTTCCCCTCGCTCCTCGACAAGCTTTTGCTTAGACATGGGTTGTAGCGAAGGGGGGGGTCTTTCTGGCGAGCAGGGCTAGACTCACCCTCAAGGGATGACCGAAACCTTCTTGCTGCTGCGCATCCGCCGCGAGGCGTGCGTGTGGTGGTGGAGTTGGGTCGGCACTGATGGGGTCAGGCGGGAAAATGTAGATGCGCGGGCCTTTCTGGCCGTCGGCGTAGGCAGTGATGCCCAGGTCATTTTTGTGCGCGGAGGCAGACACCATCAGAAAGGTGGACGGGCACTACACGGCCCTAGGTTTGCTAGAGGGAGCTGTATTGCCTCAGTAACCTGGCTTCGCCATCAAAGGAGGAGG